GCCCCACTAGAATTCTACTGCCATCCCGCTGTGACAGGGATGTGAATGGTCTGCTCCATATCACTGCAGCTCACAAGGATAATTATATCACGCACACACCTACTGTACATGGACAGTCACACACTCCTGCAAGTACAGACAGTGTACATGAAGACTCAAACATGCTGACCAGCTGAAGCTGAGCTGCTACACCTCATTAAATCGGGAAATGAATCCAGGATGGAGTGCTGGCTCCATTCCAGATAAGCTTGAGGTGTTTTAGGATTCAACTTAGAAGTTACTGTGGCTGATTTCTGGTGCATGATTTTTGTCACCAATTCTGGTGTCTGTCTTCTCTGAAAAAGAGAATGTCCCGATCGATCCACATTTGCCATCACATAATCAATATGTGTGATATCCTAGTTTTAAAGGTCTGCTTTGAGGCGGTATTTTGTCGGCTCTTTTGTATTTCAACGGAACGCAAATATAAATATATTTAGTCAGTAGGATGAAATCTTAAAATACTTGATGATTGTTGTGGTGACATCATGATGATGGAAAACACAGGAAACCTATGCATGCATTAACTGAAGCTCATATTGTCATCACTACACCAAGCAACCACTGTCCTAATTGTGTGTTGTTTTATTTTAATATAGTACAGTTTGGGCTGCTCAGTGAAAGAGTGCATGCATGTAGGGAGTGGCGGCCTAGTGGTTAGGGCATAGGGCTTTGAAACCTGAGGTTGTGGGTTCGATCCCCCCACTCCCACAGACTGCTACTCTGGCTCCCTGAGCAAGACCCTCAACCCCACACTGCTCCCCGGGCGCCTCCCAATGGCAGCCCACTGCTCCCCAAGGGGATGGGTTAAATGCAGAGAAGTAAATTCCCTCTGGGATTATTAAAGCATATAAAATAAAAAAGTTCTCCCTGAGCATGCATGGGTTCTCTTTTGGTACTCTGGCTTCCTGCCAAAGTCCAAAAAAATGACGGTTAGGTTAATTGGCTCCTCTAAATGGTCCTTAGGTGTGTGTGTGTGTGTGTGCATGAATGGTTGTTTGTCTCTGTGTTGTCCTGCGATGAACTGGCAACCTGTCCATGGTGTATCCTGCCTCTCACCCATAGACAGCTTAAGATAGGCACCAGCACCCCACGCGACCCCACTTGGGATATGCGTGACGGAAAATGGATGGTGCAGTTAATGTTCTTTCAAGAGTCCATATCCTTATTCAAACTTTTGGACTCTGCAAAGTTTGTCCATATTCCTCAATCCATAATGTTCCCTTACAGACTGAAAGTAAAGAAGAACAAAACACAGTGCCTGTGCTGTATTCTGTGCAGGTTCATACTATATGAGGAAAGACATTCACCCTCTGTCTCAACATGAAGAAACTATTTACATCTCTTGAAAGAAAATGTATTTTTCCTTTAAAGTACTTCCTGCTATGTCTTTCTTAGCTTTTACCTTTAGTCATCTTATATTGCACCAATAGTTGAATTTTTGCTTTTTTTTGCTCAGCTATAGTTTCTGTATTATGTAGGATGCATTCACTGCATGTTAATGTAGTTTTATAAGTTACTGGACCAGTCTCCAATTGGAACCAAATCAGACTGAAAATCTGATTCCGGTCATGAAAATGATTTGTTTTTACTTCTTTTTCTGCTGTTTGGACAATTGATGGTTTCTATCCAGTTCAGACTTTAAACCTTTAGATAGAGGTAATATTTGTAAATCAACTCTGATCTCAAATTTCTCACAGCATATTGAAAATAAATATTAAACAGAGTGTATTCAAGTTCTACAACTCTCTCTGCTTCAAAGGAGCTGGGTGAAATGCCTCTCCTTATCTTTGTGTGTCATATCCCAAGCCAGACCTACCTTTTGATGAACAGAGCACTGTGATTGGCTGAGCTGGGCAAATAATACAGCGCTTCCCAGGAGAGATGTAGTTAAAGCCCGAGGTAACAAGTTACTAGACACCAGCTTTGAGGGCATAACTGTATTATGGTCCTGGGGCAGCGTTAACGAGCACATTCCCTCCCCGGGGATGATCGGGCCCGAATCAAGGTCTGACTGACTCACTATATAGCCTCTGGTACCAGACACACGTTCTGCTATCTCGTCTAAAAATCGGATCCTGTCAACCCCAGGGCAAAACAGCTCCACGCATCTACACCTCTGCCTCTGTTAGATGATTTCATGTTGTAACCATCATTAAAAACTAAATTTGCTAATTTGCTTTGTGATCGCTGAGAAAATGAGCCTCCCTGAGCTCTGATTGCAGCGGTGACATTTTAATAACAGATGCTTGGGTGCAACATGCAGGAAGGAAAGATTAAGAACACTTCTCACTGCGGTTCTGAAAAAGGATTAAAAAAATGAATGTTTAAGACCTTTATTTATTCTTTCTTCCCTCATCATCTGAGAACAGAAACCTTAATCACACAAAATGCTGAGATTTCCCTGAAATAACACTGAATAAAATTAGAGCTAAACCGTTCCTGATTATTATCCTGTCTCCGGTTTTTGTCGATCTTTGACTGGGTGATTACCCTTCAGGAAATGCAATGTAAGAAAAGCATTTGAAATGAATTCTTCCTGTGAGAAGCAGGGATGAATCATACATATATTCTGAAAGCAAAGACTGATTGGTTAAGGAATTTATATTCTAGAGTATGGCTGCTGTTTCTTAAATAGATTTAATTAATGGCATTCCTAAGAGGGAGTGGATCTCCATCCCAAATCTAATTTTTTAATGTTTGTTAATAACAAAAAAGTTCAGTGTGACACAGAGGTTGGTAGTTCAAAAGATTAATAGAAAGCATTTCTGAACCTGCTCTCATTCATAGTTTGAATAAACTGCAAGCCTTTCTACCTTGAGTAAATTTTAGTTAGAAATAATTTTTATTTAACTAGAAAACGGTCTCTAATGGAAAATAAGACCAGCAGTCAGTGTTAAAAGAAATGATCTTTATTTTAAATTTTGGTAATCAATAAATGTCTTTTAAGCAATCACTCTTTCACAATCAATGATAAGCTTTTTGTGTTTTATAATTTTTATTTGGACACCTTATTTTTAGTTTTGAGCTCTAAACCTTTTTACCATTTCACTAATCTTTAGCTTGGAGAAAAGAAAAAAAATAACAGGAACGTTACTCTAGTTTAAGTTAATTTAAGTGCAATTAGAGGAAGACATATACATATACTTATACATAATAAGTTTTACTTCTTTATACCCATTTTCAGACAGTTTCAATTAATCAATATTTCTGGCTGTATATACTGAAGGTTTATCTGGTTCAGGGTTTTGTTTCTATATGTGTTGAGGTGAATTTAGTTTGGTTTTTGGTGTTTGGTTGATGTTAAAATGTTAAATAGTCTCTTTTGTGTGTATTTGGTTGATTCATTTATTGTTGTTTGTCAAATTGCCTGTCTAAAATTGTCTGAAATAAATTCCTATTCAGATTCTGTATCTGTATCAGATTCAAGTCTGAACGTTCTTGAACAGAATTCAAATCATTGGTAAAATTATCACTTTGAAATGACATCTTCCAGAGGGCTTAACGGTTTGGGGATTAACAGTGTTTTACAGGTTTGTTCCACTTAGCTTCTGACTTATCAGCTCCCTCACTGTTAAATACCTCACTGACATTAAACTATCAGAACTTGAGTCTAAATAGAAAAAGCAGTTATAGATTCAAACATAGCAGATGCTTCATATGGTTCTTACCTAATAAGAAAAGGATCCATATTCTAGTTCCAATTATTTCTGAGGGCTCCTTGGTTGAAAATGTCCGATTTGCATCACCAGCCGATTTCTCTGTACTGCTTTTCAGATTTTTCTGATTAGAAAATGATTCTTTCTGAGCTCTAATGCAAGTGGGCTATTTTAATATTAGACCAGCAGCCTCTTTGGCCGAAACACACAGGAGGGAAAGATTATAAAACAGTTCTTATTACTGTCATTAAAAGATAGGAAATTACTCCTTTTATCCAATATCTTCAGTCTTTTGACTCCTCACCTCAACTGCATTTTTTTTTTCATATAGAATAATAATGAGTTCTTTGCAACACTGAATAGTAACAACAGATACTAAAGCAGAGTGCTTCAGTACTTATTTATATCAAAGCTTGTCCCAGTCGGGTTTGCATTCCCCTGACTTCTTTTAATGATTTGCTATTATTCTTTTGTTTCAGCCTTATCCAATAGAACAATATTGTGTTTTGAAAACTGACCTGACATCCTAAAACTGAGCTGCCTGCCAACAATGAAAGCATGAAAGAAAATAACATTTTTGTTTTTCTATCCTTAGTTACAGTCTAGCTATTGAGCTGCACAAACATCATAATGGAAGAAATTGGTGTAAATAATGATTAATTAATGTTCCACCGTTTTTAAAAATGTTTTATCCAGACAGGTGATCCGGGATGAACCTGTTGTTTCCGCACCATCTGTCTCCATTAAACAGCTATCAAACAGTTGTACCTGACATTTCCTGCTACAGCTGCTGTCTTGTGAAAGACTGATGGTCGAGTGTCAGAAATCTGACCTTACTGCAGATCAATTTGCCTCAAGCTTCATCTGCCAGACACTCACATTGATAAAACTGAGAGTGAAATGAGCTGGAATGAATCCTATGTCCCCGCCTGTCCTGAACCTTTGCCATTCCATCCTCTGGTGTTTTAGAATTGACACTGCAGCAAAGCACACTAATAGCACAGTGTGATGAGTGCGGTGAGATGAACCCGTGTGGCTCCCACACTCCATCCCTACGGAACTAGTTTACATCAAAAAGATAGCTCCAGGCAAAACGCCGTGCACTCCGACAGACATTGATCCCTGACAACAGATCCGGTTTATGTAACTTCCTCACTTCTTTCACCTTTGACCCTCCTGTGGATGCAGGATAGAACAGACTCAGTATTATGATTAATAGCTTCTGCAACTGGATGTGCTGTGAAATTCTTAGCTGTCATGTGATGTCTGTGATTCACCTCCTTGCTTTCTTTCTCTTTGCAGGTGTGGACGTGCCCTAAGACTGTGTGAGAGGGGCAGGGGCAGACCACAGTGACGCACGATGATGGTGATGGAGATGAGGAGTTTGGTTGCAGCGCTGCTAGTGTTGATCTTGGGACATTTCACCTCAGCTCTGGAAGTCCCTTTAGACCGTAAGGAAACAGATCACACCACACATTAGTAACCGCATTCGTTTTGTTTTTAAGATTCTCTATTTTATGGAAGCTAATTTTTATGGGGTTTTATACTATACTGAATCTTGAAATCATACTGAACTTTACCTTTTTTGTTTCGTAACGGGGCTTTCACATTTAGAAAATTAAGAGACAGGATTTTCTTTTTTTTTTGTCGCAGAAATTAAGTTTATGACACATTGTAGGAGGATTTAACTAATTTACTATTTTGTTCTCATTTTGCAATATAACATCCGGTACAAAGGATTATTAGGGCCATGCTCATACTTTTATTGCTAATTATGAGAACAAAGTTGTAATAATTTTTTTTTTATTGTAAAATTATGAGACTTGAAATTGTTTAAATAAGATGAAGGCTTTGATACATTTATCTACCAGTCATCAAAAATGCAGCCTTAGGAGATTATCTTGACCTATGAGTTTACGTTAAAGTATGATGCTTCTTTATTCTAGTAATATGGCTTTTTTCTTATTATATTGCAACTTATAAGACTTATGAGACTAGAGTTTTAACAACAACTCTAGTCTCATAGTGTTATGACTTTTTTTGTAATGTTATGAGTATTTTGGTACAACTTAATTGTACTCGACGTCTTCCACTTTATCCTGGTCATGGAGGCAGCAGTCTATGCAGAGGCTGCCAGGCCAGCTGAGAGACTGGAAACTTTAATATTATTAAAAAGGTTTATTATCGTAGACTTAATATTATTATTTCATTTTCATTATATTACAATTTTAATGCCATCGACATGATATTATGTCCTTATTCTTGTAATATTGGGACATTATTTTCTTTATTAGAATATTAAAGGAGAATTCCGGTTTTTAACACTTTTAGCCCATTTCCTGTAGTGTCCAGGATGAAATCGAATGATCGACACCAAAATTTTGACAATTGGTCCTGTCTCGGCTATTTGGCTCATGCAGAATCCCCCCCTGGCTGCTTCAGAATGGCTTTCATAGTGCATGTCCGATAATGTCCTTAAAACAACCTTAAACGTCCTTTTTGAAAATATGCTACTCACCGGGTCGTCAGCGCTGTTCAATGACGTTCCAAAAAAAGTTTTGTGAAGAAAAACCGTTCCTGTCTTGTTTTATTTAGCATTTTGTAAATCCCAGAACTATTTTTTCCGATACATCACAACCGCTTATAAACTTCCGCTTCCCGTTCGAATCTGAAGCGTTGCACACTCCAGACCACTAGTTGGCGACGGTATCCTCTACCGTCAAACTCAAAGTCCAATATGTCCTCCTCAAGAATCCACCTTTCGTATTCCATTTTCAGAGTTTTTTAAAGTGTTTAACAGAGACGTTAGCACCTCGACGTCGGAGTACACAGAGTGAAGCATAAACACTTGGGCCTTGCGAAAAGACTACAACTAAGCGTAAACAGGCCCCATTTCCGTTTCCAGTGGCGGAGGGATATTGACTATTCCAACAGAACTCAATGGGATTTACAAAATGCTAAATAAAACACTACAGGAACGTTTTTTCTTTACGGAACTTTTTTCGGAACGTCATTGAACAGCGCTGACGACCCGGTGAGTAGCATATTTTAAAAAAAGAACGTTTAAGGTTGTTTTAAGGACATTATCGGACATGCTCTATGCAAGCCATTCTGAAGCAGCCAGGGGGGGATTCTGCATGAGCCAAAAAGCAGAGACAGGACCAATCGTCAAAATTTTGGTGTCGATCATTCGATTTCATCCTGGACACTGCAGAAAATGGGCTAAAAGTGTTAAAAACCGGAATTCTCCTTTAATAAACATATATATTATACTCTATTGTACTACCAGAGACCTGAATGCATTTAATTTGGATTATTTTAAGAATATAATATTGAAGTAATAGTCCCAATATGTTTTTTTGTGTTTTTTAAAATAAAATCTGTATGTTGTGCATTTGTATTCAGTGATGCTGATATTATGGTTTGCAAAGCCACACAGTAGTGCAGTTTAGACTAACGATTATTTGGCAAATTGATTAGTTTTTTGATTATTTTTTCCATTAATCGGTCAGCAAAAACTTCTTTAAAGAAGACTTTTTGCGAAATTAGACCAGGTTAAATTAAAAGTTTTCCACTTGAGGGGTTCTGGATAGAGCATATTGACAGAAGAAAAAGATTTTTATCTTAAATGCAAAATGTTGACATATTTTTTTACAACTTTGGTATAATTGCTGCTCAAGGTGGGTTTCTCTGTCAGCTAAAGGTCACTAATCTTTAGTTAACAATCAACAATTATTAAATTAGTTAAGGATTATATAAACATATATATAATTAATCACAATTATTCCGATTAATTGTTTCAGCCCTAGTGCAATTACAGCTGTTAAGCATTTGCAGTGTTACTTTAAACAAATCAGCCTGTGTTTTTAAGATCTTTATTTGTAAAGAATATGCTAAACCATGTATTCATATGTCTATCCAGTTGAAAATGAATCCTTTCATTGTTTCATCTTTCACATTAAATCTCAACAAAATTAGACAGAGGGCTTCACTGGATTTTATTTGAATTCATCAGAGTGAAATAAAGTTTATTCCCAGTACTTGTGAGGTCTTCATCACATCTGGCTGGAAATGTTGACAATCAGAGGCTGCCTTATCCAAACATTGGACCATTTTTTTCTTTAATCACTAATGCCTTCATCTCTCTACTGTCACATTGTTTTCTTGTTTCCTGATTCATTGGGGGAAAACACTAAAGTTCTACCAGGATGTAAGTCACAAAAAAATGTTTTTTTAATCAATAGAGTTGAATTTGCAGTTTTTCTTCTTGTTTTTGGACCACATTTTTTTTACTCAAGCTGCTTGTTATTTATATTTTGTTTATGTTAGAAAGAACTGAGTGTGATTTGGAGTGTAATTTTGCATGCATTCATTGTTTTGCTTGCTTCCTCTTGTTTTGTGTGTTTCTGCAGAGGTGGTATATTGTATTCAGAGTAATATTGCACACAGAATGAATTTTCAGTTATTTGTTTTGTCATAGTCCATTAGTTATCTCTCCAGCACTGACAGGAATTCAGTAAGTATCAGATAATTGCACTAAGGGGAAATGCACCTCTGTGCTGTGCATGCTTTTTACTGTTACACACATTAAGAGCTTTTTTATGAGTGTGTCAGCAAAGCCCTGCATGGTTTTAGATATTATGGTCACTCCCACTGTGTTCGATGATGGCTGCTTGTGTGACCAATATAAGATAAGGAAAAAAGACTTAAATGAAGGCATAAAGGTCATGGTTAAACATTCGCTCTCTTTCTTTTCTCTTTGTAGTGCCACAGCCTCCGTCAATAACTCAACAGTCCCCAAAGGACCACATTGTGGATCCTCGAGAGAATATTGTTATTTATTGTGAAGCAAAGGGAAAGCCGCATCCCAGGTAAGTAGAAGCCAAAAGCAGTTTAAAGGTAGATCAGGTTTCATTTTATTCCATCTCATTTTCGTTTAAAACTAAACTTTGTCCTAAATGTAAACAAAGATATTTATATTTATTTGTAGGCGTTACGCCCTTGCCAAAAGCTGGTTGCTGCTTGCCACAACAGCCTTATTGATTCTTACACAAGCCTTTTTTCCCCTTAGGTTTTTTTATCTTTGTTGGTATTTTGCATAGATTTAAAACAAAGAAACAAGCTTATATTGAGGATAGAATTAGCATCAACCTTGGTTACATGAGAGGGAAATAATCCTTTATTTGCTGTAATTAATAGTTTGGTCTGCAGCTGATTAGAAAAGCAGTATTGCCTCCAGAAGCTTTTCAAAGAGGTGGGCCTGACGAGCTGCCAGTGGTAATTTAGGGCTGGCAAACCAAACCCAAAAACAGGAAACAATTAGGAGATAGATTTTTTTTCCTGACCTTATTTACAGATATTGTCGTGCAACTTGAATCTGGACTAGTTTTAAGTTTAGTTTGGAAATGTTTAAATCACATTAGATCATATATATTTATGTTTTCAGCAATATGAAATACATTTACAATTAAAATATAAAGTTCTGATCTGTCTGCAGGATTAAAAGTGATTTTTAGGAAAAAACTAAACAAAAAAACCTTTCAGGTGGATGTTGACATACTTTTATTAAGCTCACATTTCTATGTTTTTAGATTTTTTTTATTATTCTGATGCCATGTTTTTACCCTAAAGGTCTTTTCATTAGCTGTTATCAGAAATAACCGAAATAACCATTAATTAAGGTTTAAAAGTGTTATTATGTATTATTGTTTAAAATGTGTTATTGCACAATAAATCCATATATGTTTCAGCTGCTGAATTAAGCTACTGATTAGATATTTATTTGTAATGCTATTCTGATTTGATTAATTTGACTGCATATGGAGGTAGTGGCTAACCTAGTTATTTTAATGTGTCTATACAAAATTTCTTCTTTTTTTAAATCAACTAAACATTGTCAGTAGAATAATAATGCTCAGCCAGGGGGCGCTAGCCTTCCCTGCTAAATTAAAGGTACACTATGCAACCGGTGTTGATTTTCCAGCGAGGCTCCCCCCAGAGGGCGAAAGTAAAAGTGCACTGTCGTAAACATGCACGGCTGTTCTCCTGGTTTCTCCGTCAAGCCAGGCGCGGTTGTTTTGAGCTTAGCAGCGAATGACTAATGCTGCGTCCACACCGGGGGCAGCTGGCGCGACAGCAGCAGCGACTTTAACGCGACAATTCAATGCGAAATATGACCTTCTTGGCTTGCCATACAGCAAAAGGTCCCGCGGCGCGTTTTGAGCTGCAGGCGCAGCACGTCTGAGCAGCTGAAGCAGCGCGTCCGGTGTCGGGCTAAGCATCTGACGCAGGGAGAGAGACACAGCGCTGATGATCAATCCTCTTTTATTGACGCCTAAATTAACGTAAAATGCAGAAATCTGCCGGCAGAATATGCAGTTTGGATTATTTAGATGAAAAACACCTACCAGCTGCCGTGGTGAACTGCGAGGAGGCAACCCGGCCAGAGGCTGCTGATGAAGGGATCCCTACTTTCGGCGCATCCCTGGTATGTGGGGGTCTGAGCGGCTCCGACAGAAAAAATATTGAAGGCAGGATAATAATCTGAATGAACTGACGGCACTGATTACGTTTTCAGGTGGATTTTCTCACTTAAACACATATTAAAACTACTTTATTCCCACTGATCACAGCAAATATAGCTGCAAGGCAGAGAAAGGATAGTGAAGCTCCGCCCAACGCAGATACACTTTTGCACCGTGCAGCCAGAGCAGCAAAGCTGTTTCAGCCGCGTCAGAACTAACTGGTACAAGCAGCAAAAAGGAAGCAGCAGATGTGATTTTGCTGCTTTTGCTGCGTGAACGTAGCATAACTGCACAAAGATCGCCACTGTGCTAGCAACGAGCATGCTTTTAACTGGGGGGTGTAGCAGTTCTCGCCGTAAAGCAAGACTGACTCTCACGAGACTTCTGAGCCTGTGGGTGCGGGTCGGTGCTCCTGCAGTTGCAAGTGCGGTATTTCCTCTACAGACCACCAGGGCGGCCGAGAATACCTTTGTTCAACCTGAAATGACTCATTTAATCATCCATAACGTTATGGAACACATTAATGAACTGAAAAATGTTGCATAGTGTGCCTTTAAGTGCAAAGAGACAATATTTTTTTATGGACCAAATTTCTACACTGGAAAAACAATCTACAAATGAGTAAAAATGTCCTAAATTTTGTGTATTTACCCTTAATTTGAGTAGGTAAATGAGATAGTGTGCCAATGGAATGAATATTTTTACTCTTAAAATAAGATATTAAGATCGTATGCACTTGGAATAAAACAATGCAATTGTGTTTTCTTATTTTAAGTGTAAATTGTCTTGTTCCATTGGCAAAATGTCTCTTTTACCTCCTCAATCCAAGAAAAAGTCACTTATTTTGTAGAAAAAATCACTTATCTAGATTTAGATTTTTTCCAGTGTAACATTTCATTTATAAATTTGAAATAAAGTCAAAGACTGGAACTTTTTACTTGTTATTTTTGATTAAACTGGATTTCCTCCTCCAGTTTCTCTTGGACGAAAGATGGGACTCACTTTGATGTCAACGAGGACCCTAGTGTGACAATGAGGCCTAATTCAGGGACTCTAGAGGTGGACATCACAAGAGCACGACCTGAAAATTTTGAAGGTGTGTTTCAGTGCACAGCCAGGAACAAATATGGAGCTGCTGTATCAAACAAAATCGTCGTCAGACAGTCAAGTAAGTGCGGCCGGCAGCTTAGTTTTATCTACATTTTGTCTGTCATTCTCTCCAAATATAAAACACAGTGAACATTTTGTACCATTTCCTTCTTCCTTTTCTCTCTTTCTGTAAATTAAGTTGCATTGCCCTTCCTAAGAGGGTTGACAGAAGGTAAAGCTTGCATGTAGAGAAACTGCATGTTAGAATATATCTTACTGTCCTGTTTTATTTTCCTCATAAGATTTTTTTCAGTTAGGCATCATCCTCTCATCTCACCCCATTGCCTCTGTCATCATGTTTGCAGCCCTCCACTATCAGCCAGCATTTATGCCAACATTGTGTCAATAAAAGCCTGTGGTGTGCATTTCATTTTTCAATGATTCCAGAATCCCCCTTGTGGTCAAAGGACAAAATCAAGCCAATTGTGGTTAAGGAGGGTGTTTCCCTGGTGTTGCCATGCCAACCCCCTGCAGGACTTCCACCTCCCATCATATTCTGGATGGACAATAGTAAGCTATCGTCAGCCATTTGTTTGTTTTCGGAATTTCCTTAGTTTAACCGTAATAGGTTTATAACAGGGAGTGGCGGCCTAGTGGTTAGGGCACAGGGCTTGGAATCCTGAGGTTCGGGTTTTGAGCCCCCCTCCCACAGACTGCCACGGGCGCCACACAATGGCAGCCCACTGCTGCCCAAAGGGATGGGTTAAATGCAGAGGTAAATTTCTCCAATGTGAGATTAATAACGTTCAACACAACAAAAAAGTAGATTAATTTAAAAACCCAGTTGCAAGAATTATCATTATAACTTTCCTAAAGCATTTTTTGGTTTTTCGCTTTTTGATATCCATCCACTATTATAATGCCTTGGAAACACTGAAAAGCTACTGCATTATTGAACCCATTTTCAGTTGCAGCATCAGAACACCTAACTTAAAGAAACAGAACAACCTAATAAAGAACACTAGCTATGTTCTGGAAACTCCACTTTAACTTCTGGAGATTATGTTAAAAAAAACATATGATGTTCGCCATAAAACGGAGAACATCGTAGAAAAGCCTGAGCGTTTTCTATATCAGATTGTGGAAATCCAGTCGGAGGAGCCATCAGTACCTAAAATAAGTTTTTGAAGAAACCCTTATGAGTTACAACAACATTTAAAGTCCATTTGAGATTAATAAAATATTTTTGAATCAAATGAATAAAACATATGGTCATTTTGTTGTGACTCTAGGAACAAAGTTTGATAAAACATTGTCAGAAAACAAGTTATGGTATTTAGACACATAAGCACATGTATTAACAAAGCTGCCCCATTGGACATTTAATTAAAATAAATAATGTAATCAGAACTATACACATAAACACATAGCCCCCTTTACATATTCATGAGCTTAAAAATTTGGAATGATTTGTTTACTGGAAACAGTTTATCAAAGCAGTATCTCAGCATGACTGAATACAAATAATTTTAATTCATAAAAAAAAATAACAAATATTTATATTTGGACAAAAGCTAGAAAATTTCACCAAAGCGATTTTTAAACATAATTCAAGATTTGACGAGAGAAACAATTAACGGGCGAATGTTTATAGGGAATGTTCCTTCCGTCCCAACAAACGAGAATTATGGTTTATAATAATTTAAATTAAAGTCAATTTCCTCTTTAAAGTTCCCTTGAAAACAAGTTGTAGCTACAAGTTTGGCCAACTTCTAAACTATATTGTTTTAAAAAACCTATTACAATATTTACCATTTCGGTTTTCACCTCATGAAACATGTTAAATTTAGGAAATTTATGTAACTCTCTTATGTAAGAATAACCTTTTTTGTGCATGTTCCAAAAACCTAACTTTTGCTAATATGAACGTAAGCAGACTGTATATATATATATATATTTTTTTTATTTATTTATTTTTTTTTTATTTTTTTTGTTTTTTTTTTTGTTTAATTATTAGTTGACCTATGCTTGATTGTTTTATCTGCAATAAATCCAAAATCTCATATTTATTTATTATAAGAATTACTTATAGAAAAAGAAAGTAGGGGTCCTTAAATGCAGCCCTGTCGAACTACTTTGAACAATATTTTCTAAAATTTCAATGGAAATGTATTTACATAGTTGTACTTTTCTCAGATTTCCAGAAGCTGCCTCAGAGCAAGAGGGTGTCTCAATCCCTGAACGGCGACCTGTACTTCTCCAACGTTCGCAGAGAGGATTCTAGAAGTGACTACATCTGCTATGCTCGCTTCACACACACACAAACCATCCAGCAGAAACAGCCTATCACTGTCAAAGTGCTCACCAGTAAGTCTCGCCTAGTTTTGGGTGCTTATATTTAAAGATTTGATGTAAGTTTGTATGACTGTAACAACAAAAGGGGACTGCGGTGTTTTCATCTAATGCATGTGGAGATGAAGTGGTTGACTTTCAGCAGGACAGTATGTGCTTTGATGGCACTGTGGGAGGGAAAGCCTGCTTCTTAACACGGTTCCCATCCTTTCAGATGCCAGTGGTCGTTATCTGACTCAAAAGACATATTGTCTGAGTTCTGGTTGATCTGTGAGAATTTCTCTAAGCAGCTTTTTGCTGTCACTTCTGTGTGAAGAATTCCTAACATACTCTCTTCCACCAAAAAATACAGCTGTTGTCATGTTTACCTTTGCAGCTGACACCATGAGGCTCCTCAGTGCATATTGTGACTTCATCTAAAGCTGTTTGTTTTATCCTGTTGGTTTTTGTTTTTCTCCTCCATTATGTTTTCTTTTTTTGTTGATGTCATAATTTCAAACTGTTGCATGTGTGATTTTTTTTATTTTATTTTGCTGTGTTACAGTGGATGAAATCAATGACACAATGGCAGATTATTATAATTTCACTGAAATGGTGTTAAATGGTGAGTTTTTGGCACCATCCAGTGTTTAACTCTTCCCGACCCAAAGCTCCACACTCTAGCTTTCACCCACTAACACCAACCCTTCAACTCATTCATCCTCTTGGCTTCTTTGCCCAAAGCTCTCTGGTTTCTTCCAGGGCATGAACTGGCACCCCCTTGTGGTTATTCCTATGTAGAACTAAACACTGTAGCCTCCTAACTAACCCCTCCACCCTTAACCCCAAGACTCACTCCTTCTTTATCCAGCTGACACACTTTTATCAATGGATTTTCATTTGATTTGCTTAAATTTAAACTGAACATTTATTTTCTTTTAGACCTAACCTATACGGAGGACCAGCTCTACCATATTTAGAAATCAATGCAGAAATAAATTAATGCTCAATAAATAAATAAGCATACAATTAATTACCATCAAAAATACAATAAAGAAATAAATATAGATAGAAATTAAATTACACAGTGAGACATAAATGTATATATCTCTTTTATTTAGCTTCTTTATTGATTCGCCTTTGTTTATTATTATATTATTTATTAATAACTTTTTTTAAGTATTTATTTATGTTTTTGTTATAATATTTTTGTCTGTTTTATTCTTCCTTTGTATTTTTTTAACCCTATTTATTTCTTCAATGCTATTTATTTCTGCCTGTCGTTTTTCATATTTCTGTATGCATATCTGCCCCATTATGCAAAAGAGGAAGGGCTGTGTCTTAGAGGGTCAACTTCTGCTCTTTGCTTATTTATTTATTGAGCATTTATTTATTTCCATATTTTATTTTTAAATATGGTAGAGCTGGTCCTCCATAAACCTAGTATGTAACATCTGAAAATACATGTCATGTCAGGATGTTAGGATAGCTAGTATAGTCAATCAATAACACAATATTTATTGCACTACATGCAGTGTCCTACATTTTAATGTGTTCATATTTATATGGTAATTTCTGTCAAAGGAGAGAAAGTGGAGGGAAGGGAGTAGCTTGTAGACCTAGTTGAGTCACACCCTACATAGGGATTCAAAAGCGTTCTGGAAGCCAAGTCTACGTGAGACTCAGTAACATGATAAATTACTGCTTTAATAAAACATTATTCTAAAGATACTGAATTCAATCGACCCAAACATTTTCTGGCTATTAAAAGTAACTTAAGGCTAATGCTGTTTATTGGTAGCTGATCTCCTAATAGAAATCACACATTTAAACTACGGGGAGGATCATTGGGACACATTTGTGTTAAATGTATGTGACCTCACTTCCATTATATTTATTTCATTTAAAACGTATCATTGTCTTTAAAACAAAAAAAGTTTGTCTCCCTCATTGGTTCTAGAAGATGCTTTCTCATCCATATTTTTTTTTTATTGTTTTGACAGCCGTAAGGAAAAGAACAAAATCAATAAGCAACTTTTTTGCAATTAATTATGAGCCCAAAAATACAAAAGAAACAGATTGTTATTTATTTATTTGTTTCGTTCTTTAAAGCTTTTTTTGTGTTTTGGCTCTATGATGATATTTGTCATATTAATCAGACCAGAGCTTTAAAAGTGCAACACATTAAAAAACATGAAGAGTAAATCAAAATTGTAAAATATCATTATGTTTGCACAACAGATATGATGCCAAAACACTAATATGTAAATATGCCAAAATGTCTTCCTTTAGCTTAACCTGCAGTGGAAGTCCTTTATTTACAAACAACCTTATCCTTTTCTCCTCCTTGATTTAGAACAGCCTTGTTTTCACTCTATTTCTCTTATTTCCATCTTATTTTTCTTGTTTATAGATAGAAAATTGTTGATTATATATATATATAAAAAAACATCATTGGTTTAATTAAAATAGGAAAAATAACTGTCTCATCTCAAACATTCATCCTGGTGTTATTTTAATTAGGTTTTTGTCTTAATTATTCTCATCAACCGAAGGATCAGAATAATTTTTTTTTACACTTTTAACATTATTTTAGAAATTAATTCTCATAGATATATATATTTTTGTCAACAGCCCTCACAGCACATACAGTAAAGTGTAGGCAGACATTTTGATAACATCTTTGTTGAGTGGTGGAGGGTAACAAACATGAAAGGAAAGTCTCAGCTTAGTTCTTCTTTATTCTGGACTGATGCAAAAGAGAAAAGAGAACTTTTATTTTCTTTCATTTTAGACTCATTGTGCCATGTGTGTGTTTGTAACTGCAGAGGCCCCAGTGGATGAGAGGAAGCCAACCTTTCTCATCCCATCTGGCCACTCGAGCTCCAAGATGGTGCTGAAGGGACACGTACTGGAGATGGAGTGCATTGCCGAAGGACTGTAAGTCAGAGAGTTTGCCTCTATTGAATGTTTCATTGCCTTGAACGCCCGCCTACTTAATCACAACTCTTAAATCCAGGCCCACCCCTGAGGTATCCTGGACAAAAGTGAGCGGAGACCTCCCCGGTAGCCGCACATCCTTCCTGCACTTCAACAAGACCCTGCAGATTGTGAACGTGTCTGAATCAGATGCTGGAGATTACCGCTGCTCAGCCAAGAACCAGCACGGTGCTGCGCACCACATCATCAGTGTCGTGGTCAAAGGTGTGTCAACACCATCTTTGTTTATTCCTGCCTTCCCTTTCTCCCCCTTCCCTCATTCTTTTCATAATTGATTTATGCACAGATGCCACGAGGACGGTCTGTTCAGTAATTAATTTGCTTCTCTGTCCTTCTTGCAGCGACTCCTTACTGGATCAGTGGGCCTCCAAAGAATCTTGTTCTGGCTCCAGGAGAGAACGGAGTGCTGACCTGCAGAGCTAATGGCATACCTAAACCCTCCATCTTGTGGTCTATAAATGGTGACCTTATTGAGAGTAAGGGCAATTTGTTCCACAATTGAGAATTTATCAATCCTAACATAACATATCCATCACAGCATACATCAGATCTGCTATAATAAAAAAAAAACATGGTAAAAGTAAAAACTGTTAATATTTTTTTCCAACCAGTTAAAGCATTAAATTTTTCTCTAGAAAGGGCATTTAATTTGTTTAGCATGTTTCATATAATGCTTTGCAACACAAAGTGATTACAGGAATCCAGTTAAATCCCAAACTTTACCAAAAACAAACAAGGTGCTAAGAAGGAAGTTAGAAGAAGAGAATGTTGCAGTAAGATGCATTTTAATCTGACGGTTGTTATACTGAAAGTAGAAGGGTTGTCACAGAGGAATTTGTTCTTTTTTTTTAAACTTTTCATTCACAAGAACAAGATGCAAAAAAAAAAAAGAAAAGTTGAATATTTTTTTTCCCTTAAACATTGAGAAATGTATAGATACTTTTTGACAGAAGCAGAATATCGTTCGGTACCCAGGGATCAGTCATCTGATTAGTGTAGGGATGTCTCCCTCTTACCCTTCACATATCCAAAACTCTTTAACATTACCCTATTCCCTCTCAGATTCACCTAAAGATATCAGCAGAAAGGTGGAAGACGACTCAATCATCTTCACTCAAGTCAGGGTCGAGTCCAGTGCTGTGTACCAGTGCAACATCTCCAACCCATATGGCTACCTCCTGTCCAACGCTTTTGTAAACGTCCTTTGTACGTTTATGACTTAACTTCCATGATGGATTCTAATGCTGTTTAAAGAGTAAACAAATTTGTAAATAATTTCTGTTGACTCACTGCAGCTGAGCCACCCCGGGTGCTGACTCCAGCAAACAAAGTCTACCAGGTTATCGAAAATCGTCCAGCCTTTCTGGAGTGCTCCTCGTTTGGGTCACCCATTCCTAAAATTGATTGGTGAGTTAACCTACATATAGCAGAAAATTTTCAAAAATATTTCCTTAAACAGAACTCAGAGAAGCCAACTTTCTTTATATTAGGTTTAAAGACCGTAAATCTGGCATCCTGGATGGAGATGATTACATCCTGCATGACAACGGTACTTTGGAGATTCAAGTAGCCCAGGCTCAGCACAAAGGCAAATACACCTGCGTTGCCAATAACTATCTTGGTATTTCTGAGAACCATGTTTACCTGGACATTAAAGGTGAGGTTGTTTATTTCTGTAACGACCTTTAAAATGACTTTCCTAAGAATACAGTCTCAGATTCTTCTGGATTGATTTGATTAGATAATACTGGAAATGATTTGGACCTGTTTGTCTTATAGATTAGATTTATTGTGACCTAGTAAAATGTACCAGTTTTTCTTAAACTTTAATTACTGGGCTCCTCTTTGGTTTAAAAGAACATTTTTTTGCCTCTCATTACCCTGCCCTCCCAGCCATGCAACAATTTAAACAGTTGAACAAAGATCTGCAGTGGATTAAGTCACTAAACTACCATGGTTAAAGTGTTATTATTAAGTGTAGCTGTTTATTATACTTTGTAAAATAATTCAAAATTACTATCAATACATTCATTTCTACCCCTCCTCTAAATTTGAGAGGTGTGTCCCCACTTTTGGGAGCACTGAACTAAACTAAGGGGAACAGAATCATTTTAAAGAAGAGGAAATATGGCTCAAAACTCGAAACTTAACCTAATATCTAATTAAGGAATCTTAAAGGTATAGTGGAGGATGTTCTATTCCCAGGTGGATCATGTAAATAAATAGTCCTCCTAATGGTCAATCATTCTGGTGATATGTTTACGTATCGTCCCCTTTTTCACTTACGTAGTGGAAAATTAGCAAATCTTCTTTTGGAAATTAAGATTGTATGAGCGCTGCAAACAGCAACATTTAAACAGAGCGTGCACAAGGAGAAATGGGCTCATGCACGTATTTAATAGACGTTCCTTTCTTGGCGGGTACTGGGTTGTGGGCGGGGTCTTTTGAAAAATTTTGAAAATCCTCCATTATACCTTTAATCAGAGAGGCAACCAAAGGCTCAATGTAACTTTGAAGGAGAAGGAAAGATCCATGAATCAGGTGGTTGAATCTGTCAAATAGGTGCTTCTTATACATTTTTAGCAATAGGAGCACCAACATCTGTTTTGGTGTCCTTTTTTTAACTTTTTAAAGTTTTGTTAACTTTTATAATCAGAACTAATTATTGTTATTTATAACCTTATGTTTTCACTGTCCAATCAGAACCTACACGAATCCTCAAGCAACCGGTTGACAAGGTGGTCCAAAGAGGCGGCTCTGTGCTGTTTCAGTGCATAGTGAAACATGACAAGGACCTCCATACCACCGTCACTTGGCTTAAAGACGGTGAAGAGCTGCTAGATGATGAGCGGTTAGACCTTTTTTTAAAGCTTGGATACATCATTGAAAAACCTGCGTTTAGTTCTCAACTAGTAAAATGTTTGAAGTTGCACTTTTTTTTTTATCTTGCAGATTCATTGTGGAGTTTGAGAGCCTGTCTATCACTGATATATCAGAGAGTGATGCTGGGTCCTACACATGTATCGTAAATAACACCCTCGACCATGATTCAGCCACTGCTGAGCTATCTGTTGTTGGTATGTGACTCTGATTTTAATTTTATAAAGTTGTTAAATGACAGAGAAATCGGACTGTAAAGTAATTTGACTGTTCAGTTAGTTCTTTAGCTTGGAAGATGCACCAGACACATTTACAGGCATGATAGCAGTATGCTGTTAAGCAGTATCCCTTATGCTCATATTCATAAAAATGGAAATTTAAACCTGGAAGCTGCAAAGGAAGCTCAACAGCAAAGGTTTGCAACAGGTTTCTAAACAGAGAACTTTCACTGAGTAAGGAATTTAATGAGTCATATATGTTTGAGTTATGAAATGACTAAATTTCCAATGTTTTAATCACCTGAAACTCTGTGTCTTGTCTAACCGATTAGATATTGCATAGTTTAGTTTGTCACAACTACCTGTATAAAGACTAGGGATGGAACGGTTTCTGAAAACCGTTCGGTTCGATTCGCTTTCAGTTCATGCGCTGCTCCTTTTTCTCATAGGTGAAGCGTGTACACTCCAGAGCAGAAAAGTAAACAAGAGGAAGAAGAAGCGAAGCAGCGTAGCCGGGTGTAGCAGAAAAAAATCAGTTGTGGAGAATTGTGTGGGTATGGCGAGTGGGAAAGAACAGGAGTTGGAAGACGCGCCAGCAGCACTTTATAGGTCTGCTGTATGGGACCACTTTGCATTTAGAGTGACCTACGATGACGGCGGAAAGAAAGTTGTGGATAAAACTGCAACAGTGTACAAGCATTGTGCAACATGTTTTGTACTATACAAGACATAATAGATTTTCCTAAATATACCGAACCGAAAACCATGACCATGAAACCGTGAACCGAACCGAACCAAACCGTGGATTTTGTGAACCGTTCCACCCCTAATAAAGACCTACTGTTTGATCATACAAGAATAAACAACTTTAGGGTTTGCATATGGTTTGTAGCAAGAGTTCAAAGTAGTTGGCTGATGTGGTCTTTTGCGAGAGAATGTTGTTTTCCTGTTACTTCCGTGTCAAAGGAGGGGGAGGGAGGTTAGTTACGACCCACAAATGCATAAAAACACACAAAAAAACAAGTTAAAACAAAAATGTACAGTACAAGCCAGTTTAGTGCTCACACTCTTGATTGTCTTTGAGCCATTTTTTCAATCTTGTGGAGAAAAGTTGAATATCGGCTCCAGAGCTCCAGAGGCAAAGAGTTCCAGAGATGTGATGCTTTCACTGAGAAGGCAGACTGACCCATACAGTAGATGTCCGACATCTTTTAATCCTGCAGTTCCCACTAGCTCCAGCTCTTGTCCTGAATCCTTCATTTGCATACTTTAAAACAAATTTACAGATTACCTCAGGGGCAAGACCATTAAGGCATTTAAAAATGGCTTTTAAAAATGAGAAATTTATAAAATTTTCAAATTTCATCATATTGTATTTTTTTATAATTTTGCAGTGATGCCACTTCACCGGTTTTTGAGTGAATATTTTTAATGCTTGCTTGTGTCTCAAATTAGAGCGTAGTTTATGTACGCTTGTAATATGGGCATTGAACATGTGTGTTAGGCATCTAGTGTAAATAATTGAACATCCTGTTATATGCTGTTAACTTAAGCGCACACATGCCGCTTTGCTGCAACTAGGTGTTGTAAAGCGGTATATTTTCCCCTCCATTAAAAGTATCAGACCAAATTGAGTGATCATGCGCTTAGGTTAAATATTTGATGACCTCTTTAGCCAGTCTAATTATTATTCTGATTTACTTATGGCTGATTTCACTACCAAACCTCTTATTTCAATGCTGCCTTCCAACCTAACAGAGCTTACTCCACCTCCAGCTGTCGTTCACGGTAAACCTGAAGCACACACAAGCATCTGGATGTGCCCAGCTAGCATGTGTTTGTGGTTTTTGTTTGTTTCAGTCTTAATGCAGCATGCCACTGCCCAGAAGAAACCATTTGGATCAAACATTCACCAAGTGCTGGATTTTTTGTTTCCCTAAAGTGAATCTGCCAGTTTGATTTGCTCCATCACTGTTCTTGATTTACTGATAATTATATTTCAGCAGAATGAATTGCATTTTTCTGCAAAAAAAAATTAAAAAAGGAGGAGCAGCTTCCTCCTGCAAATTTTAGAGCAGATATACAGGTGCTGGTCATAAAATTAGAATATCATGAAAAAGTAGATTGATTTCAGTAATTCCATTTAAAAAGTGAAACTTGTATATTATATTCATACATTACATACAAACTCATATATTTCAGATGTTTATTTTGTTTAATTTTGATGATTACAAATGACAACAAATGAAAATCTCAAATTCATCATATCAGAAAATTAGAATATTGTGAAAAGGTTCAAAATTGATGGCCCATGGTGCCACACTCTAATCAGCTAATTAACTCAAACCACCTGCAAAAGCCTTTAAATGGTCTTTCAGTCTAGTTCTATAGGCTACACAATCATGGGGAAGACTGCTGACTTGACAGTTGTCCAAAAGACGACCATCGACACCTTGCACAAGGAGGGCAAGACACAAAAGGTCATCGCTAAAGAGGCTGGCTGTTCACAGAGCTCAGTGTCCAAGCACATTAATAGAGAGGCGAAGGGAAGGAAAAGATGTGGTCGAAAAAAGTGTACAAGCAAGAGAGATAACCGCACCCTGGAGAGGATTGTGAAACAAAACCCCTTCAAAAATGTGGGGGAGATTCACAAAGAGTGGACTGCAGCTGGAGTGAGTGCTTCAAGAACCACCACACACAGACGTATGAAAGACATGGGTTTCTGCTGTCGCATTCCTTGTGTCAAGCCACTCTTGAACCACAGACAGCGTCAGAAGCGTCTTGCCTGGGCTAAAGAGAAACAGGACTGGACTGCTGGTGAGTGGTCCAAAGTCATGTTCTCTGATGAAAGTAAATTTTGCATTTCCTTTGGAAATCAAGGTCCCAGAGTCTGGAGGAAAAGAAGAGAGGCACTTCATCCACGTTGCTTGAAGTCCAGTGTAAAGTTTCCACAGTCAGTGATGGTTTGGGGTGCCATGTCATCTGCTGGTGTTGGTCCATTGTGTTTTCTGAGGTCCAGGGTCAACGCAGCCACATACCAGGAAGTTTTAGAGCACTTCATGCTTCCTGCAGCTGACCAACTTTTTGGAGATGCAGATTTCATTTTCCAACAGGACTTGGCACCTGCACACAGTGCCAAAGCTACCAGTACCTGGTTGAAGGACCATGGTATCCCTGTTCTTAATTGGCCAGCAAACTCTCCTGACCTTAACCCCATAGAAAATCTATGGGGTATTGTGAAGAAGAAGATGCAATACACCAGACCCAACAATTCAGAAGAGCTAAAAGCCACTATTAGAGCAACCTGGGCTATCATAACACCTGAGCAGTGCCACAGACTGATCGACTCCATGCCACGCCGCATTGCTGCAGTAATACAGGCCAAAGGAGGCCCAACTAAATACTGAGTGCTGTACATGCTCATACTTTTCATGTTCATACTTTTCAGTTGGCCAACATTTCTATAAATCCTTTGTTTTTATTGGTCTTCAGTAATATTCTAATTTTCTGATATGATGAATTTGAGATTTTCATTTGTTGTCATTTGTAATCATCAAAATTAAACAAAATAAACATCTGAAATATATGAGTTTGTATGTAATGTATGAATATAATATACAAGTTTCACTTTTTAAATGGAATTACTGAAATCAATCTACTTTTTCATGATATTCTAATTTTATGACCAGCACCTGTACAGTAGCCCCATCAGCGCTTCTTGTAATATTTAATCATTGCTCATTCATTTTGAAGCATGCATCTATTATCTTTGCAACTCCACAACTTGAACATCAGTTTATTTTGTCTGGTGAACATAAGACAGAGTGAAGACTGAACATCAATCAATTCATAGCATGACGCAGCATCTGCATGTGTTAGCATCATCATCAGTGGACCGAGAAATACATTAAAACTTGCTAATAAATCAACATGGCGATGCATTCTGCTACAATCATCTGATTGTGGTGTTACTGTCAAATGTTCAAAATATAAATATCTGTGTCTCATCCTTTTGTTCTTGTTCTCCCAGGGCGACCCGACCCCCCCACAGACCTGGAGCTGACAGACCATAAAAAGAGGAGCGTTCAGCTAACATGGATCCCTGGGGAGGAACATAACAGTCCTATTCAGGGTATGTGTTTGTCCATGTCTTAACTTGTCTTTTACTATCTCTGTCCGTCTTACGCAATCTGCTTTTAATGCTTGATATATGTATTAACTGCTCCCAGCTGATGTTTTTAATAAACAAAAGATTAATTTATTAGATGAAGTGATGTTAATGAACTGTATCATTAGGGTTTATTAAGAGAAAATGGTGTTTGATTAAACATAAATGTGACTTATTTTCATTTTTGACAAACTACAATTAAATACTATCATAAAATAAGCATCATATCTTCTGTCCAATCTAATTTGGTGTATTTATGCAGTGCCAATTCACAATAAATCTAATTTCAACATAATTTGCAGTGACGGTTCAATCAAATGCTAAAGAAAAGCTCTATCTGAGGAGACCTAGCTGATTTCATCAAGTCGTTGAGATTGCAAATTCTCTCCTCCTGGATGAGGATGTGTCAACAGCAGACACTCACTTGCATTTTTTGTTGGCTCTGTAGTAATTTCTTGCACCAAGCATCCATGAAGTGACAGTGGAGAGGAAAAAACTCCCTTCTAACTGGAAGAAAACCTCAAACAGAACCATGTTCAGTGTGAGTGGCCCTCTGCCAAGGCTGACTGAAGTTTGAAAAGGACTGAATTAGATACTCTAAAGGAATACAAAGGCAGTGATCCCTAAATACTTTCTAAGTTGTAAAAGCTAACTGGATCCTTATGTGGCTCTGTCTGGGAAAGAAACAGTTAAGCTATGAGTCGGCCTTTTAAGTCAAAACGGATGAAAGAGAGAACCCATAGTTAGTCGCAGTAAAAGCGGAACCCATGGCTATGTCCAGGAGAAAAACAGGACTCAGCACTGAAGAACAGGCCCAACTCTTTCACCTACAGTTGAAGTATGGTAGTAATAAAATCTATTAAGTTGCTGGTTATGTTGATTTTTTAAATTATAATGGACACAGAATATTATACATTTTAAATTTATTAGCTGTCTTTTTCAGCACCTTGATTATTCACTACCATCAAACTTTAAAATCTGGTCAAGACAGCAAATGAAGTTGCACCTTCATTTATTTTTTATTTATTTATTTTATTTATACCTTTATTTATTTATTTGTATATGTTTTCTTATAAACTATAGTTGTTGTTTTTTTTCTGGGAGATTTTCTTTTTTTTTCTTGCAGAATGTTTCTGGCCTTAACCATGAACTGGACTTTTTTAATTTTTTCTAAAACAATTGTTTAAACAAAATGGTCCCCAAATGAAAGTCTTTCTATTTTTCTTGAAAAAAACTGTACTGTATACACAGGAGGCTCTCTGACCTTATTCAGTTTGTTAGAGTACCCTGCATGTCACAAACACTCATCCTGAATGAAAACATTTCCAAGATCCACCATTTAATTGCAGACTCTGCATGAACTCTGTTGACTTTTAAGTTTAAGTGGCATGAGAGCAACTGCCCCATTATGCAAACAGATACTTAGCAAATGTTAAGAGATCTAACACGGTTATCTTTATTAAATGCAGAATTTGTAATCCAGTATGAAGACTCTCTGCACCGCCGAGGACATTGGCATGACCTTGCAAGGGTTCCTGGGACCAGGACAACAGCTCATCTCAAACTGTCCCCATATGTCCACTACACCTTCAGAGTGTTGGCCCGTAATGCTGTGGGTCTGAGCGAGCCCAGCAGCCCCTCTCGGATGTATAAAACTGATCCTGCAGGTACAGAAGGTTTCATTCTGATGTTTGAAAGGATACTCAGTTTTGTTCATGTAGATCAATAAATCACTGGATAAGACAGACGGCACTTCACTCCTAAACTTAAATGTAACTATTCCTAAACGTAAACTAGAGACTGACACGGGAGTGGATTTTCACTCCTGTCCCGTCCCACTCACACAGAAAAAAATTGTGTCCCGTTCCGATCCCGGGCCAGAGTAGAAATCTAAATCCTGTCCCGTCCCACTCCTGGTGAAATTACTCCCATCCCGCTCCCATTCAGAATGACTCCCGCTCCTTCACCACTCCCACACTGCAAAAACGATCTAGAAATAAGTAAAAATTTCTTAAATTAAGTGTATTTATCTTTATTCTAAGTAGGTAAATAAGATAGTTTGCCAATGGAATGAGTATTTTTACTCTTAAAATAAGATAATTAGATAATATGCACTTAAAATAAGACAATGCAATTTTGTTTCCTTATTTTAAGTGTAAATTGTCTTGTTCCATTGGCAAAAATGTCTTTTACCTCCTCAATTCAAGAACAAATGCACTTATTTTAAGAAAAAATTACTAATCTAGATTTCGATTTTTTCCAGTGCATTCTTGTTGTTTTTGAGCGCGGGTGAAAAACTCAGAGCGGAAGCACTGTTGGTTTTTGGGTCGTGTCGTTTTTTTGACATTATAGTGTAGGCTTCAAGGAAAAAAAAACTACAAAATGGCGGCGCCAGTACTGGATTTTTTTTCTTTCTATTTTATTTTATTTTTTGGCATCGATCCTAGTTTTTTTTAGTTACTATTGGTTTGCTCCCGCTCCCGTCTGCTCCCATTAATGTTTAATCTTGTACCGTCCCAATCACGTGATTGTTACTAATACTGACTCCCATCCCACGGGAATCCCGTGACCCATGGGATTCCCAAAAAAATGTCAGTCTCTAACGTAAACTTAGTGGTTACTTTCCAGAACTTACTAGGTACTTTATTTGCATGTAAAGATGAATTTAAGTTCTCGCAGGTAATCTTCTAAAACCTTTATGGATCTCACTGTTTACTTTCTTTACGCCTTCAAGTTTAATTTCTGTTACCTACAGTAGATCTTACTTTTTAGAAGTTGTCAGGTACTTTAGAATAACTGAGAAGATAATTTACTGGTTACCTTTCTGAAACTTTTATGCATTTAGAATAGTGTTGCACCAATACCGAAACCAGTATCGGGCATGACCCTAATACACCACTAAAATGGTGGTGTTGGTATCGGCGAGTACCAACAAATAGGGCACCGATACCATTTTGAAGGCCAAAAGTTTATTCAACTATTGTCACCCATTCCAGGTAGGCAATAGAAAGTTCTTCTGGATTCACTTTGTATTAGTCTTTTTCCTGCTTCACAAAGGTAGGCAGCAGCTTGACAAAGTCATGATGGCAATATTTTACATCCAAGTAGGATGAAGTTCTTCATATACACACACACACATCAATTTCAAACAGATGGTATCGGTATAGGTCAATCCTGCACAGCCAGGTATCAGTATCAGGGCCAAAAAATGGCATCGGCACAACAATAATATAGAAGCTACTTCATACTTAGAATACAATTTCCTGGAACTTTGATTTAACTCACCAAATACTGTCTTAGAACTTACAAGGTACTTTTTCTTAACTCAGGAAAACATAAATTCTGGAAATTAGTTTTGAATAAGTAGAGGTTTTAGGTTGAGGTAATGTTTGTTAAAGAAATGGTGCTTAGAAATTCACTAAAAACTTGATAGAAGCTGTGAGATAGCTGTTTCTTCTGAAAGTTGTTCATTTTTCTTTTATGCTGTATTTTCAGCTCCTGATCAGAACCCTAAAGGTGTACATGGTTCTGGAACTGAGCATAACAATCTTGTTATCACTTGGGAGGTAATCATCAAACTGTTTACGATAACTAGATTTTTTTCAGAGCTCTTACAAAAAAAATAAAAAATTTGATGCTGTAATACACCTCGAAAAGTAGGATAGAATCTAAAGATTGTTTTCTCTCTGCAGCCTCTTACAGGCCTTCATTCTAACGGTCCAGGACTTCGCTATAAAGTAAGTTGGAGGCACAAGCGGCCGGGCACTGACTGGACTACAGTGACTGTGGCCAATAACTCCAAGTTTACTGTGTCTGGAACGCCAACATTCAGTCCATATGAGATTAAAGTTCAGGCTGTAAACGACCTCGGAGAAGGACCAGAGCCTGCTGTTGTCATTGGCTACTCAGGAGAGGACTGTGAGTAAAACTCAACCTTTTAAGACCTTTAAACTCTTACAAAAAGAACGTGCACTAATGCTTGGGGCTGCATAATTTGCAACATTTTGCTCTGACCTTTTTCTGTTATCCTACTCTAATGTTACGTATCTTTTTTAATCCCACAGTGCCAACAGCAGCTCCAGCAAATGTTCAGGCTGTAGTGCTAAACAGCACTCTGGTAGAGCTTCGATGGGATCCTGTGCCTTCTCATTTAATACGAGGGCACATTCAAGGATACAAGGTTTGGGATTTTCCACACAGATATTCTATACCACTGAGACTCAGCCTGTGAAATTATAATTGCTACTGTTAGCATCTGTGGACTAAAGATGAATCTTTAATTTGCCTTCTATCGTAGAGAAGACCCATTCTGGATCACACTGATACGATGTTACCAGTGACGATACAACATACATCTAACATTGTTTTTTTAAATATAAAATTAATACTTGTAATACTATTAATATCATAGAGTTTAAAGAGTGATAACAGAAATCCAATGTAGAGCTACTTTGTTGTCCTTTGTTTACTGTTATTATTTACAGATAAAGCCTCTTCAGCTAAGTTGTTATGTTAATGTTATGGTCTGCACATTTGGACCATTGTGTTTTTCCTATGCCTGCTTATCAATATCAAGCCTGTACATATGACATAATTTTTTGCAGATTAACTACTGGAGAAAACATCATAAACATAACTCTGATCAGATGGAGCAGCGCATCCTGACCTTTAGTGGGAACCAGAGCCGCGGGATGCTGCCTGGCTTGCACCCTTTCAGCCACTACTCATTCGAAGTGAGGGTTTTTAACAAGAAAGGGGACGGCCCCGCGAGTAAAACACAACAGTTTAAGACACCTGAGGGAGGTAAGAAGAACACAGCTAAAAAAAATCTAGAATGTGAATTTTTAGAATATTTTGGTTTTCTATGAAAAAAAAGCCGTCAGAGTTTAAAGGTACACAGAGAAGGTCTTGGTGCCATCTAGTGGCAAATTATATAATTGCATTCAGATTAGAAAGAATATTGTTTATGTTTAAAATAACCTTTAAATCGTGCATGATCCCTTTGGTGCTTTTCTCACCACTTCTTCCCTGCTATATTGTTTAGCATTTTCTTCCTATTTCATGCTATTTGTTTTGATTTTCTGCAGAGCCTGGCCCCCCAGCATCCCTGTTGGTCACAAACCCAAGTCTAGATTCTTTAACCCTTGAATGGAATCCTCCTCGTGAACATAATGGGCACATCACAGGCTACACCCTCAGATATCAGCCAGGTGAGATTTAATTTTTCTTGAAAGACAGCAAATGAGACATCTAAATCTTTGTCATGTGAACATCATCCTCTGTCATCTAGTGTGTAGCATTGTAAGTCATTCTTTTTCATGACTTGAGTAGTCATGTAAGTTTAGAGTAGCTTAACTGCATTTTAAATGTTCTTACATTACAACAACACAAGTTAACAAATCAAATCTGGTCACTCCAAACTTCTGTTTCTGAACCCTACTCCCCTGTTATCCAAATCTATCCATTTCCACCCTTTTTATTATTGACACTCCATCTACAACCCCTCACCCTCCTCCTATCACTACACAACTTTCTGCTTCCCAACTTCCCTCTCCATCCCATGGTTGTCGTCCTCGATCCTTCACCACTGTAGTCAATAACTCCAATGAACTGGGACCAGAAGAGGAGCTGGCCCTGGCTGCCAATGAGACCTCAGTCACTTTGCAAAACCTCAAGTACAGCCCCCGCTACAAGTTTTATTTGAATGCCAGAACAAGCGCTGGAGCGGGCCCGGCCATTTTTGAGGAAGCTGTCATGCCGGATAAAGGTAAGTCAACATAGGCAGGGAAGTGCAAAACAATAAGCTCATGTGAGAATGTTTTCTGAAAGGCTAGCATTTCTAAAGATATTAAGAAACATTGAAAACAACATTTATTTTTATAAAATCGACAGAATTTTAAGTCAAAGGGACCTGTTCTTTTAGTTGAAAATCAATTCAATGTAAATGTGTTTATTTGCATCAGTTTGTTCTGAAGCAAGCAAGCTAAAGTAAGAAAAACCCGGCTCAGAACCTGCATGTAAGCATGCAGTTCAGCAGCAGATTTAGAACCTTTGTTTTTAAGCGTTAAGAGCGTCACCATAGAAACTGTGAATTTAGCAGGGAATTGTAAATTACTGGGAGGCTACGTCCCGAAGCACAAACTAATTAGATTATAATTTATGAAAAAAAACATTGTGCATTATTGAAACTATTGACTGAAACAAACACATTAAGATTGTTTTAATAAAGGTCACCAATCATGCAAGATGAAGAGCCATTAAGTCACAATTTGCCTTTGACAGTCAGCCATGTTTTATGTATTGCACCTCCCTCAGGAAACAGCAGAAATGTTTGCTAAATAAAGCTTAGTCTGCTGGAAAACATCTAGCATGGTTTAACAATCATCGCTTTATTATTGCTTGTGTCCTCTACTATGTTTACTTTCAGGCTAAGCCGAAAAATGTTTATTGTGAAGGAGCTTTTGTTCTGTTGTTTGGCTTTTTCATTCGAAAGAAAAGGTCACCTTGATCTGGAAATAATCTATTCTCACAGCATTTCTTTTTGACTTTTAAACATGAAAAAGCTTGAAAAAGCTTTACCTTTTATTGATAAAATGGTTAAGTCAGAAGTCAGAAGTTTTTAGGAATTCTTATTCATTTTTGGCTTTTGATATTTTACTTTAACTGTTATCTCCTAATCATCTTATATAGACGTTTACCTCATTTTTAAATAAGGTGTGCTGTGGGTTGTATGATATCCTTGAACTTTAAAAAGCCAAGATGTAATTTTATTCAATGATTACAAGTTTTGCATTTTTCTATTCTAGCATAAGAGGGATTTTTACGACAGTTATCTGATTAACTAAAACTCAATACATGCGGGAGATCTGGTGAACTCAGTGACGCTAATTCCAGGTTCTAAAATCATAAAGTATTTTCAAACAGTCATAAATCGGCAGAAGTTATTCAGAACACTTTGCCTTAAAATGTAAGAGGACCAAAACTCTCCACTCAAATAAGAGAAATTTAAAATCACTGTTAGTAGGGAAGAGAGTTAAACATCAATATGGCCTAGAGGAGGCCAACATAGAAAAAATCTACTGTTCCAAAAACCAACAAAAATTTTCAACTTTCTGTGAAGATCAACTGAATAAATTTTGCTGGAAGATTTTTATGTTTATATACCGGTAGTAGTATTTTTTAAGATGCAATTTATGATTAGAAACAGAGAGACATGGGTTCCACACCTAAGAATATTAAACCCACTATAAAGCATGGCAGTGGCAGTGTCATTCTGCTGGCTGCCGGTAAATGGGGCTGGAAGGAGGGGATAGCAACGTTTTTTCCTTTGCCATTTTTTTACTGAAATGATTGAAACTTTATCAAATCTAATAGTTTTAGAAAAGAAAACAAAGACTTATGTTAAGCTGCTGTTATTTTAAAGATGCTCCAAAAGCCAGACCTCAGTCTAACTAAAAAAAGTGAACCTTTCTTAACCGTCACATCTATAATCAGACGGTTAACATTTGCATACAACTGTACAAATATTTTCAATGGATGGCTTTTTTCATGAGCTGTATTTTGTGGTGTGTAGAAAAGTTACATCAGCTGATCAGATATGAGACTGAAGCTTTTGCAACCTTTCGTCAGATCACATTGAAAAACATCAAAGTATTTGCTTTTCCTATCACATTTGTACATTGGCTGCTGTTCATTATACATCTGTACATTGTGCTGCTCATGTTTCACATTAAGACTCGTGTTGATGTCCTTGCATCGGAAATGTATCCGTGATACAAAAGGAACAAAGAGGGAGGGATGATTATTTTGAGCTTATTGTAAAACCTTTTGTTTCTGATGTCTTTCTTTAGCTTCTGTCATCAAATATTGATAGATGTGTTTGTATAAGGTGGTTTTTCTACATGAAAATTAAGATCATGTTGTGAACACACTGTAAGCATGCTCATCTTTCAAGATGTTCTCTCTTTTTTCTGTCCTTTACTCACCTAAATGTTTGAGTTCAAAGCTTGAAAGAAGAATATGTTATTTGACATGTCTTTCTATGTTCCACTTGATAACACAACACTTTATTAAAGTGGTGTGCTGCTATTTTGTTTTTCACTTTCTCACAATGGATGCTGGTTATACTACCTGCTGCATGGCAAGGCTCTGTGTCTGCTGTACCTCCCTTCATGGAAAGAGTCTGTGTTTTTGTGTCTTTTGCATGCATGTGTGGTTCCATGTTTGGATGTGGCTCCAAACATATCCTCTTGGTGTTGTTTACAGGGAGCACCCAAACCTCTCATCCCGTTGCTTTGGCTCCACACCTTCCGATCCACAAGGGTACAGACTAAGATCTTAGTAAACTGCATGTCTAATTAGTTCATCGTGAGTTTAATTTGCATTCCATTTATTGATAGTGCATATTCCCATCCAGTGCTGTTTTGCACTTTTGTTTGGGTCAAAGCGTGCATGTCAAAGACCTACGAGTGCTTCTCATTAAATTAGAAAAGATCAACTAGTTGTTCTGGTTTGCTCTTTTATTCAAATAGTAAAGCTGAAATCTATGATAAAAGAAATGCTTTGTACAAAATAAATCAATCTTTCTAAATATCTACTAAAACACTTAACATAGATAAAACATTTGAATATAACACTCCATGCTTAGTGAATATATGTATAATGTTATTTTTCTTTTTGAAATGGATTATTGAAATACATTTTTTTAAAATTGAATGAAATTGTAATTTGGTTAGACATCATGTACAATCAAAACAAAGCATCTGACTTGTTGGATTGACCATCGCCCAACAGGCCAGTCTTGATTATTGTCTCTTCTTTCATGTGCGCAGTCCGGCCTGCGAGCCCATTTGCAAATGTTAGCTCCTCGCTTGAAGAAGATGGGGCCCTGATCAGTTGGGAGTACTGGGGCCAAGAGAAAAATGTTTATGTAGAGTACATTGCAGAAAACAGTAAGAAAACAACCTCGTTAAAATTTCTCTCAGCTCCATGCAGGGGTGGCAAGAGACTCCTACTTCATTACTGGCTTGTGCAGGTGATTAGAAATATTGGCAGTCATGTTAACCTGGTTCCTGCCAGCGCAAACCCTGATTTGATAAATTGAGCTTCGTGTAATTGGATTCTTAATAGCTCAGTAGTGATACTGGCTGGATTGGTTTTGATTTCAAGCAACAACATTGATAGAAAAAATAAAGACCCTACAAAAAGCACCTCTTCCTGTCTTTCTTTCTGCCCATGTTGGCTAAAGGGCTTGCAGTTACTTTCTTTTCACCTGCAGTGAGTTAAAGGAACGTGGTATGACTCTCTCACACCTACTGTTTCATGCATTGAGTTAGGAAATGTCATTGTTATAGTTCCACCTTATTCAAAATATAATCCAAAGATCATCATTCATGATGCATTTCATTTGTAGCTCATTTTTACTTGTGCTTCTTTGGTGGCCCTGACAGCCCATATGCAGATAAACAGATGTAATAATGCAGAGACCTGACAGGCCAGATGAACATTTCTATCTCAGGGACAGCTTAGCTCTCACATAAGTGCTCCATATGACAGAAAGATTAGAGGTTTATTTCTTTAAATGGTTAAAGCAATCACTGCTTTCTCTAGAGAGTGTTTTTATTTTTTATCCACATCAAGAGGATAGATATTTTGTGATTTGGAGTACCCTATAGCTCTTTTTTGGGTCAAGTGATAATGGTAAAAAAAATCAATAATTGAAAAAAATCATTGAAATTCAATTTGCTTTTATACCCTTGAAACACATTGGCTTTTTAAAGGAACAAATACCTCTTGAACCTTTTTACATCTTGTCATAAGATCATACTTGGAAGGAAGTGGAAGGAAAAAGGTAACATATTTTCACATTTCCATACAAATATTATCAGTATGACCTTCATTTTTATCTCTAACTCTCTGAAAAGCTACTGCATAAAAACTCCTTTTGCTGCAACATTTTGGTGGTATGTCACCACCGCCTTGATGAGACTAAAGACTGAACTATTTGAAATTTTTCTTTACAGAATAACAAGGTCAGTCAGATTGCAGGCAGCGCATCTGTGAGCAACAGCTTTTAAATCTTTCAATGATTTGATTGATTAAATTAATGCCTGGATTGGATTTTTAGCAAATGAATGTACTGCTTAAGGCAAACCAACATTCCAGTCTTGAGTCTTTTACAGCCTCCCAACCCCAACAAGTTTTCTGGTAACAATTTATTCTGGTTTTATCGTACTAAATCACCTTCTTTCACGTTTGGTGTTATGCATCTTCATGAAAGACCTTCTAAAAGCTTTTTAAATTTTATTGGTGGAAGCAGTTTATCCATAAAGCACATCTATAAACAATCAGTTAATATCCCAAAGCATGTTACATAAAGCAAAATCATCTAATTGTTGTTGTGTTGACTAATTTTCCCATATACACCTTCAACTAGTAAACTTACACACTTAATAATCTGATTTTATTTAAAAGCTATCAGCATTTTGTAGAATAAATCAGTACAAATCACACTTATTTTTTACTTTACATTTGTAAGAAATAGTATATGTAGATTTATACGATGTTCCTTTCACTTTACTTATATGCTCTATTTTTTGGTTGGTCTGTTATATAAAACCCCCAAAAAGTACATTGAAGTTTCTGGTTGTTCGCTGGCAAAATGTGGAAAAGGTCAAGGGGTATGAGTGTTCCTTTAAGGCACTGTGTCCAGATGTTGAAACAAAAGAAAACTACTGGTCCTTAAGGGATTTGTAGAGTTTTGACCTAATTTTGAAGCAGAATGACAAACTAAATCATGATGAGTAACAAGACAATATATTATAAATGACAGCAGATAAAAAACTAGAGACTGAACAATGTGTTTGACTGTTTTCTATGTAGCAGACATCTCTGTTGTTTATCCCTCCCCAGATTATTAAGTCTGTTCTGAGTAACAAGCAGCTGTTCTGAACCAAGCTGGTTTCCTTTCAGTTATTTTGTGGCGGCACTAATTGTCAACATTTCTTTCAATTTACATGAGCTTGTTGACGCCGCAGTGCTTGGAGCTTTGAGGGCCACCTAGATTATTTATTTCGAAGCCTTAATTGATTTTGTTTTTCCTAATCCATGAATATTCACAACCGCCTGTAGAGTAACGCCATATCAAAAATCTGCCAAGTAGCTCCCATCATGTCATTATCTCCATGGTTCCTTTAAAGTTGTATTCACCCCCTCAAACATACCTCTTTCCGTCGACCTCCCTCCTACAGGTGAAGGTGAAGAGGAGTGGCAGAAAGAGCTTGTGAACGGCTCTCAGAACATTAAGCTGAAAGGCCTAAAGGTGGGCCACTCCTATAGGGTGCGTGTGGTGGCTAAGGGTCACCATGAGCAGCCGCTCCACTCCGAGGAGCTGTTTGTCACGGTCCCAGGTGAGGTGTTTCCCGCGGCATAGCCTCCACCTTGACCCGGCCCAGTCATGCCTCACCCTGTTACTGGTGTAGAATCTCTAGTTTTTGTCATTGTTCCTTTTTGAATAATTGAGTTTGGGTTTTAAATGAAATATGGCTTTTAGGGGTGTAACAAGATTTCCTAAAATTTGGGATAAAATGTTTATATATACCTTAAAGCTTGACACTAGCTAAGCACATTTTTTCCACCATCTTGCCGATTTTGAATTTAAGTGAACCTTTTCTTTTTACCTACATCAACATTTTGGAGTTCCAACCTGATTGGATGAGCTCATAATATTAAATCATCACAATACCAGATTAAACTTTCAAAATTTTTATCATGAGAATGGTCTTCTTTCTCAGGGATTTTACGGGTCATTAAAAATCATTAAAAGTCATTAAATTGTTATTTTTTAAATTAAGGCCTTAATTGTCATCATTAAATGTGTTAATGGTGGCATTTAAAATGCTTTCTTTAAAAAAAGATTTTCTATTAACAAAACAATTTCGTCTAACATATTATATGACCATATATTTGCGTGGAACTGCTTCCAGTTGATCGCAAAGACGTATGCTCGGAAAAGAAACTTGAGTCGGAGAAAAAGCTAGAGAATGGGGAAGAATGCCAATTTCAACAAAAGTGGTTGGAAAACGAGGAATTCGGGGCATGGCTGCAGCCTGTCGACGGGTACCTGTTGGTGGCATTAAAATTATTTCTCAGAGCATTAAAAGAGGATTAAAAAGCATTAAATTACAGTTATTCATTCCTGTATAAACCCTGTTACTGCAATGCCGTGTATGGTATTACCATTAATTATTCAAATAGATTTACACAAGTTTTGAAATACCAATTTCGTTCAAATGTCATATTTTTACCCTTGTATATTCCCTTACTATCTTTTGGGAAATAAATTCCTGTCTTTTACGTATCTAATTATTCTTTCTGGAGTTGGAGCAACCTTAGGTCTACACTGCAAAAACGATCTAGAAATAAGTAAACATTTCTTAAATTAAGTGTATTTACCCTTAATTTGAGCAGGTAAATAAGATGATTTGGCAATGAAATTAGTATCTTTACTCTTAAAATAAGATAATTGTATAATATGAACTTGAAATAAGATGAAATAATGCAATAGTTTTTTCTTATTTCAAATGTAAATTGTCTTGTTCCATAAGCAAAGTGTTTCACTTTCGTCCTCAATTCCAGAAAAAATTTACTTATTTTAAGAAAAAAATTACTCACTTAGATTTCCATTTTTTGCAGTGTAAATCTGCCACAACCGTGAACATTTTTGATTTTCTCGTGTGCGTGAGACTCTTATTTTTAAAATAGAAAGGAAATACTTCTTAAATTGCTCTGTTATGTTGAAAGAGTCCACTAATAAAAATCTCTATGGCTGCTGTAAAAAATTGAGCTAGAGATCATTAAAGAAAGCTTCCCTGCTGTATTATTCTAGTAGACAATAGACAATATTGTTATAGGGACTGATAGGATAATTGTGAACTATTTTCAGACACCATGAGAAAACCCTGACTGTTAAACCATTGACAGTCTGGCAACACAAATGTTGAAACTTTCTATCTGTGCAAATTCTATTTCATAGTTTTAAACTAATTAAACTTTGACTGACTAATGATGCACTGAAAAAATATCCTTTGTGATCTTTAAACCTTTTTTGTTTGTAAAAACAAGAGTTTAAGATTTTAAGTTAATCAAAAATATTGTTTAAATATCTCCTTGTTGTTATGAATCCAGTATCAGGCATCGTTTTATCTTGTAAACTGGATGTATCGTTACACCCCTAGTTGCTATAGCTCTGTATCGTATTGCAGTCTTGTAAAGACATAATGTATAGAAGCATGCATGACATTTTTGTTTCAAATTCTTCACATTGTATATCCATCTCATTCTGTAGATTTCCAGTTAACAAAAAAATTTATCCCAGTTCTAAGAGTTATGATTTCCAACCTAATGTCACAGAATAAACTTGTGTGTTTGTCTGTGATTATTATTTGTGGAAGTATATGTGTGTGTATATGTGCTTATGTCTTGTCGGTATTTATTATTTTGTAGCATTTCTAATAAAGTTTTATGTTGTTCGTATATTAATCCAGAAGATCTTCTGCTCAGCTCACATTTCTAAAGTAAAAAGTGAGACCATGGTTAATTCATGAACTGAAATGACTAATAGCTAACATCTGCCACAGCGATCTATGATAGTTTCGTCAGGGGGGATTTTCCTCATCATCAAAAAATATCTAGAAATATTGAATTTACAATTGTGTCTCCGTCTCTCACCAGCTGTGTCCAACAGACAGGTAGACATTGCCACTCAGGGATGGTTCATCGGCCTTATGTGTGCCATTGCCCTGCTCATCCTGATCCTTCTTATTATCTGCTTCATTCAGAGGAATAAAGGAGGGAAATACCCTGGTGAGTCACAGCACACAACTAAACTGGTACATGTAAACCCAATGTACATTATTTGGCAGCAGTGAGAAATAATGCTACATTCACACCGGACGCAGCAAGAGCAGCAAAATCGCGTCTGCTGCTTCATTTTTGCTGCTTGTATCAGTTAGTTCTGACGCGCGGTGCAAAAGTGAGTCTGACGCGCGTTGGGCGGAGCTTCACTATCCTTTCTCTGCCTTGCAGTTATATTTGCTGTGATCAGTGGGAATAAAGTAGTTTTAATATGTTTTTAAGTGAGAAAATACACCTGAAAACTTCATCAGTGCAGTCAGTTCATCCAGATTACAATCCTGCCTTCCAATGTTATTTCTGTCGGAGCCGCTCAGACCCCCACATACCAGCGGTGCACCGGCAGTAGGAATCCCTTCAACAGCAACCTCTGGCTGGGTCGCCTCCTCGCGGTTCACCGCGGCGGCTGGTAGGTGTTTTTCATCTAAATAATCCGATCTGCAGGCACCAGAATAATAAAAGCGAACATATTCTGCCGGCAGATTTCTGCATTTTAAGTAAATTTATACTTTAATAAACTGTTTCAGAGGAGTGATCACAGCGCTCTGTATCATCAGCGATGTGTCTCTCTCCCTACCAGCTCCCAGATCATCTTCTCTGATTGGTTGACGCAGCGTGTCGAGCAGCAAAAGTTACATTTTTCCATCTCGAGCAGCAGCGCGTCACGCGCGTCAGATGCTTAAACATGCCCGACGCGCTGCTTCAGCTGCTCAGACGCGCTGCGCCTGCTGCTCAAAACGCGCTGCGGGACCATTTGCTGCTCCTTGACTCACGTCAACCATTGACTTTGCATGTAAACTCGCTGCTTCTGTCGCGCCTGCTGCGTCCGTTGTGAACGCAGCATAACATTTTTGGAAGTTTTGAGTCTCAAAATGTGGTTTTCAGGCATATTTTAATGCTGTGCACATCTATTGTATGATTTTACAGATTCATTTCCTTTTGACAACATTTATTTTTGGTACTGAAATGCTTTTCTCTCACTAGTTAAAGAGAAGGAAGATGCACACACAGACCCCGAGTTCCAGCCAATGAAAGACGACGACTGTACTTTTGTGGAATACAGGTGAGAGAAAGTGCTCTTGCAACTGGATTTCCCCCCCAGTGCCCACTTTTATCCATCAGCCCCCTCGGCTTGTTTCCACCTCCAGCCCAGATCTGCTCTCTCTGGACTGGGCTGGAGTTCTTCAGTTCCCTCTTCTTCTCAACCCTTACAGCTGACTATAAATCATCCTAAACTATCGTTATCAGTCACAGCATCAAGATGCAGCCAGTTTGACTTCTGCCAACGTAAAGCACAAGCTGTTTTATTTCTTTATGGGTTGGTGACGTCTACCAATGTGGGACCGGTGTGCCATTTAAGGAGAAGGAATCTTCGGGTTTAATCAATGTCAGATGTTATTGTTATAATCATTTCAACATGACTGTTAGAAAGGATATTCAGAAAAGGTCAACATTAACTCGCATCTTAACTAATAAGCTATTCACAAGCATTGTGCATAATGTGCATACCGTGATACCGTATGCTTGTTAGCATCCTTGTTCTAGGCTGGTTCTCCAATAGCATGCTGAACAAAAAGACAAAAAAGAAGCACTTTAAATCTGTACATCTAATGTTTTTCAATATTGTTTTTTTTTAAGGTCAATTTATAATATAGTCTTAATTTTATATTTTGTATTATATTCCTTTTTGTATGTAGATTAAATATGTTCTATGGCTTTTATGCATGGATATACAGAAATTTGCTCCAGGGAATATTATGATGAATGGAATTATTGTTTATATGTAGATAAAGTAGTTAAACTTAAATAGATGCCTATGGATCTGATGTGGAATTTAAAGCATGTCTGAGGACTGAAAATGCTGGTTATTTATGCTAATGACATATCAACAGTCTTTCTTTTTATTTGGATAACATTTAAGCCTACTTATCATTTACATTTTTCTTTTATATAAATTCCATAAAAAGATCAAAACTAGCTGTAATGGAGGCAAACTTTAAGTTCAGCCAATTTATTTATTTTTTGCCTTGTATTCCATCTTGGTGATAAAGTTATCAGTTTAAAATGCAAGTCATAACAACACTATTTTACTTTAAAAAGACAAACATATTCTTAAACTAGTTGGATATTATACTATATAGTAAATAAGTATACAATTATTGGAGAGTATTATAGTATAATATATATGTTTTGTGTTTAAACCAAGACTACACACTATATGTTAACAACATGGATAGAAACATAGCTGTTAAGTCCTTCCCTTTAGCCGGGATACTGGGGCTTACTGTATTTTCAAATCTAAAAATTGACAGGTATAGTTAGCAATAATCAAAAAAGGGATTACTTTTCCTAAAATGAGAATATCTAATTATTTTAATAAGTATCAGTTGCATTATATCTTATAGAATACATTGAATATCTTAATAACAATCTATTTAGTTCAGAAATCAGTAAAAATAGAAAGTGTAAGGGACAGAAACCAAGTACAAGATGGCTAATAATGCAGTCAAAAGTTTCCCGAAAGCACAAACTGAGGCATCAATCTCTGTAATTACATTCTTGGCCCATACAGCGAAGACTCATGTACCCATTTCTAGCTGGAGCTTAGAGACATTAACTAGCCATGCTACTAAGTAATATAAACGAATAATGAGTCCTGAGTTTCTGTATTTTAAATGATTGCTTGTGACAAAAATGGTAATGTGCACAAGATTATGTTTTCAGTGCTTCCTGACAACTGTTAGATTGGGAGCCAGCAGTAATTTTCCTGATTTAGAGGTTGGTGTCTCTGAGTTTTTTGCATTAAAAAATAGTGTTTTACTATTACTATGATCATCCTGCTTAAACATAAACAGGCAGACTGAAATGGATTTATGTTTTACACTTTCAAGATTTTTATGCTTTATAAATTGAAATATAGACAAATTTGATATTTAACTCTTGATGCATTTTGGCCCTGTGACTTTTACTGCCTCCAGTACTGTGTGGTTTTGGACTTTTTATTATTAAAAATGCCAACAGCTTATTGTATGTATAGAGAATGGGGAATAGCAGAATGGATGCCAACTAAAGGAATGATTTTATAAATGTATTATAACAGACCGCAAAGTGTATAAAAACATAGTGCCTTTGTTAGAGATTTTTTTCCCCGTCTTGTTTCATATTCAGCAGGAACCTTTCAGTATGTCAATAAAAGACATAATCTAACTCGTCTGAGCTGTTCTTTTCTGATGGGAGAACAAATTCAAGTTCTGTTTAGACATTTTGTTTGCCGCTAATTTAGAGATAGAAACTTCTACCAAATGTTTATGGAGTAATGAGACTGGGACTGACTGTCAGTGTGGGATTTCAGTGGGATGTCCTCATCTGATCTCAGGGGTGTGGGTCTCAGTGAAGGTAAGGGCCATGATGGTGTCTGTGGGGGTTGTTTCAGTTCTGTGGAAGTCACTGTGGAGAAAAGCACTTGCTATCATCAGTTTTAATATATTTGTTCATAAAGCCTTGATCATGCTCAGTGTGATTTGCTTTCTTCATCAAAACGGCCTTACAGTCCACCACTTCATACATTTTTATGCTTAAAGATAGTGACAACTCAAACTAAATACGAAGAACACTGCAGCATGATAACGGCATTATGATCACATTTCATTGGCGTCAAGCTCATGTAACCATGGAATGTTTATTATGATCTTCTATCCAAAGAAACATTTCTTTGAAGTCGTTTCATATATTGCACCAGGTTGGGGTTCTTCTCATGCTTGCTTTGCAGGATGTGCATCTGAAATCTTTGCTTTTCACGTTTTATTTACTTCATTATTGCCAGAGCATCTTGTTTGTCATCAAAGCCTCTGTCTGGGGATGGGGAATGCTTTTGTCCCTCAGCACATTCACCTCATGTTTGGTTTCAAGGGGAATTTAGACGGAGTATGATGGCTTGAGCTTTATTCCCTGTTGCCTGGTAGAAACCAATCATAGCTTCTGTTTTGTTAGTCATGGAGCAAATTCAATTCAGATACAAGTCTAATTTGCTGCTTATTTTTCTTGCAACTTTTCAGTCTCCTATATGAGTTGTAATTGGCCGTTTCGTGCTCCATCTAAAAAAAAAAAAGTGCTCACTAATCTTGCATCTGCCACCTCATTTCATCCTTAACATCTGCATGTTATTTTCTCCTTCAGTGACAATGAGGACCATAAACCGCTAAAAGGGAGCCGAACGCCGTCTAATGGGACGGTTAAGAGAGAGGACAGTGACGACAGTTTAGTTGACTACGGGGAAGGAGGAGATGGGCAGTTCAACGAAGACGGCTCCTTTATTGGCCAGTATAGCGGAAAGAGTTCCAGCAGGGACAATGATGAGGGCCCTGAGAGCGCAGGGGCCCCATCACCACTTAATGCCATGAACTCCTTGAACTCTTTTGTGTAGCTGGTCAGTCTTAACAGACCAGTGTTATGTGTTTGCTGCTTTCCTGCAATGGCAACATCTTTTAGCGAGCGGGGAAGGCTGGGTTGTCTCACAAGGCTGCATGGCTTCATGATCACGCATTTCAGAGACTTCCACACATGGCACAAAAACTTGGAGAAGTTGGACTTAATAGCTGAATTGTATGATACTGATTTTGATATGTTTTTACTGTAAGACATAAACTGTTAATGATTTGACATTAATTAACTCGCATTGCATCTCCCAATAAGCGTCACGTGAACAATGCAGTGCTTTTCTGGAATGTATATTATAAGCAGGTAATGATTTTTTGGCTACAATCAAACTGTGTTAAATGTCTATACTAAAATTTAAGAATATGAACTTGTCACCATGCAATGCACTGCTGTAAAGTATGTGCTACATTCAGTTTGCAAATGCATGTGTAATCCATCTTTCATGCTCTTGTGCATCTGCTAGCCTAATGACTTAGGTATGAGAGTACAATGCCCTGTAAAAGTATTCACACACCTTAAGAATATTTACTTTTCATTAGATGGAGACATTAAATTTTACTGTTTTATTTGGGATTTTATGTGATACACCAACACAAATGGATTGTGAAAAACGTTTTCCCTTTTTTTTTTTCCTACAAATATGATTCTCAAAAGTGTCCAGGAGATTTTAATCTATACCGTTAGAGTTCCTACTTTTTTAATCAGCTTAAGAAGTGCAAGTCTTTACCGAGTTTCTACGTCTGGAGGTTGAAATGTGTTTAAAAAAACATTGAAAGAATCTGTGGAGAGAAATTTCGTAACTAAAACTGAACACACGCTTTTTCAATTGAAAAAGCTTCCTGGATGGGAAGCGAAACGTCTTCAAACTTGGAAACCAAGTCCACTGGATTGTTTTTAACTTTTTTGGAATGACTATGACCTGGATGACTGAAAATCTTTAACAGCAAACTAGGATTACCTTCCCCATTCCAAAGATAATGTTTTACAGCCTAATCCTGCTTTATACTTTACGTCAGGCATCCCCAAAGTCGGTCCTCGAGGGCCGCTGTCCAGCAGGTTTTAGAGGTTTCCCTGCTCCAACACAGCTGATTTTAATTGAAAGCTGATTAACAGGCTGTTGCTCAAGTTCAATCATCATAATCAGCTGTGCTAAAGCAGAGAAACCTCTAAAACCTGCAGGATAGCGGCCCTCGAGGACCGACTTTGGGGATGCCTGCTTTACGTTATCCATGGCCAGTTTACAGGTATAGTCTTACAAATTAGGTGGCTTATTAAAGTTGCAGCGGATTATTTAGGAAAAGCAGCGTAAAGGATGTTAAGAACAAAAGCAAAACACAGTTCTTAGTCTTTAACTTTTTAATCATCTACTGCTTCCTGTTGGTCTCTCACATAAAATTCCAATTAATTACCCTGGGGTCTATGGTCGTAACTTGACAAAACGAGGGAAAGTTACCTACAAAAGTAAAAACTGGATGAAGCTTTGCGTGTTTCATGCCATCATTATATGTTTTAATTTTCTTCCTCCTGCATGTTACCTCCTGTTATTCAGCTCTATCGTGAGGCCAGAAGTGAATACTGAAGGTGTGGAAGCTTGCAGGGCTCCTTCAGCAGCCAGTGCCTTTCTAAAACTGACTCATTTCTGTACAAAATTCTGCTGAGTTTTTTGAGCTGAGGCAGTAACTGGAATTGTGCAACATGTATCTAAGAAAAAAACAGGATAATTGTCACTAGCATGAAGGAAAACCTGATAAATTCACATCTAATTATGTTTCGAAATGCAGGACTGGCTTCATACTTCATTTGGATCAGTCACACTTATGGGGCATCAGAGATGCTATTGATTGTATTTCTGCCATGTTTGAATGTATTTAGATCTTTGTGAATGCGTGTGAGTAACTGTGGATGCCTGACATTTAATTTCATTTGAACAAGAGTTATTGTGATGTACTAACTCCACTTGAGGGCCTTTGGATGGGATCAAGGTTTTGTTTTTCTTAACTTGCATCAAGTTTTATTTTTAAAACACTTAGCTGATTAGTTTTTGATGACTTTGTAAATACATAAATTGATTGTACAGCGACAAGCAGAATCTGAGTGGCAATATTGTGCATGATATGGTTTCATTTGTTTATTGGACTGTATTGGATATAGACCCCTTGTAGAGAATATATATTCAGCTACGCCATTTTTTATTGCTGTGCAAAGTTTAAATTTTAATTAACTAACTGGACTGAAATGTTCTTATAAATGCTTTTTTTTCCTGACAAATACAACATTATAATGCACAGGCTGATATCTGTATTTAAACTGGTTGTAATGGTTTGTATCATACTTCTGTAAGGATTTTTTTCCCATTTTGTTTCAAGTATCTAAGATGTTTTCTATTTTAGAGCCAGATTTTTACTAACAAATTATTTCATTCAGCTATTTAAGTTGTTATTCACTTCACTGCTGGTTTGACTTTCAGACGACAGGAAATACGATGCATAAATAAATAATTTGCTTTAATTTTTCAGACTTATGCTGTCTTTAATAAAGAAAACACCTTTTTTAGGGAGTCTTTCCGTGTTTGGTGCTGTTTTCTTTACGTCACAGAAACTGCTTATTTGGCAGTGAATGTAGAAACCAAATGTTTTGATTTCCTGTTTTTTCTATGGGGATTTGCTTTGCATTGGGTGTTTTCCGTTTATTGATCCATCTCCTCTTCACTGACGCCAATTAATGCTGGAAATCTTACAATTAGTGCAGTAAGTATGAACTACTTTAACTTTGGTTTCCAACTAAGATTTTTTTGCATTATTTATTTACTGGTAGCTCTTTTTTAAAACATGTACCATCAACATAATCAGCCTTTTTATGCATTTGATTTAATTCCACATCCTGAGACATCCATTACAGCTCCATAAACCTTTTAATTGATGCTGTTAAAGATGCTTATAGAAAGTTGAGGAAATCATACTATGTAAAAGTAAAGTTCTCATGGATGGCAGAACCCGAAGAACATTACCCAGGCATCACATTGCATTCGCAAGCTCATCCTTTCGGTACTGTCCATCCTAATGCCACGTGATCCCGAGAAGAAACGTATACGTTCCAATCTCTTGAATGTTGATGTAGCAGTGGTAGGGGTTTCCTGACAGGACAGCAGCTATTCAGCTCTATAAGCAACCCTTTGGTATGCACTGTAGATTTTCATCACATCCAGAAAATAAGCTGTGTTAGGGGAGTGGCAGCCTAATGGTTAGGGCATAGAGCTTGAAATCCTGAGCTTCTGAGTTTGAGTCCCACTCCCACAGACCCTAAACCCCACTCTGCTCCCAGGTGTTAGGTTTACAGCACAGCACAATGGCAGCCCACTGCACCCCAAAGGGATGGGTTGAATAAAGAGGTAAATTTCTCCAATGTGAGATCAATAAAGTTAAATTACAGGTGCTGGTCATAAAATTAGAATATCATGAAAAAGTAGATTGATTTCAGTAATTCCATTTAAAAAGTGAAACTTGTATATTATATTCATACATTACATACAAACTCATATATTTCAGATGTTTATTTTGTTTAATTTTGATGATTACAAATGACAACAAATGAAAATCTGAAATTCATCATATCAGAAAATTAGAATATTACTGAAGACCAATAAAAACAAAGGATTTATAGAAATGTTGGCCAACTGAAAAGTATGAACATGAAAAGTATGAGCATGTACAGCACTCAGTATTTAGTTGGGCCTCCTTTGGCCTGTATTACTGCAGCAATGCGGCGTGGCATGGAGTCGATCAGTCTGTGGCACTGCTCAGGTGTTATGATAGCCCAGGTTGCTCTAATAGTGGCTTTTAGCTCTTCTGAATTGTTGGGTCTGGTGTATTGCATCTTCTTCTTCACAATACCCCATAGATTTTCTATGGGGTTAAGGTCAGGAGAGTTTGCTGGCCAATTAAGAACAGGGATACCATGGTCCTTCAACCAGGTACTGGTAGCTTTGGCACTGTGTGCAGGTGCCAAGTCCTGTTGGAAAATGAAATCTGCATCTCCAAAAAGTTGGTCAGCTGCAGGAAGCATGAAGTGCTCTAAAACTTCCTGGTATGTGGCTGCGTTGACCCTGGACCTCAGAAAACACAATGGACCAACACCAGCAGATGACATGGCACCCCAAACCATCACTGACTGTGGAAACTTTACACTGGACTTCAAGCAACGTGGATGAAGTGCCTCTCTTCTTTTCCTCCAGACTCTGGGACCTTGATTTCCAAAGGAAATGCAAAATTTACTTTCATCAGAGAACATGACTTTGGACCACTCACCAGCAGTCCAGTCCTGTTTCTCTTTAGCCCAGGCAAGACGCTTCTGACGCTGTCTGTGGTTCAAGAGTGGCTTGACACAAGGAATGCGACAGCAGAAATCCATGTCTTTCATACGTCTGTGTGTGGTGGTTCTTGAAGCACTCACTCCAGCTGCAGTCCACTCTTTGTGAATCTCCCCCACATTTTTGAATGGGTTTTGTTTCACAATCCTCTCCAGGGTGCGGTTATCTCTCTTGCTTGTACACTTTTTTCGACCACATCTTTTCCTTCCCTTCGCCTCTCTATTAATGTGCTTGGACACTGAGCTCTGTGAACAGCCAGCCTCTTTAGCGATGACCTTTTGTGTCTTGCCCTCCTTGTGCAAGGTGTCGATGGTCGTCTTTTGGACAACTGTCAAGTCAGCAGTCTTCCCCATGATTGTGTAGCCTATAGAACTAGACTGAAAGACCATTTAAAGGCTTTTGCAGGTGGTTTGAGTTAATTAGCTGATTAGAGTGTGGCACCAGGGGCCATCAATTTTGAACCTTTTCACAATATTCTAATTTTCTGATATGATGAATTTGAGATTTTCATTTGTTGTCATTTGTAATCATCAAAATTAAACAAAATAAACATCTGAAATATATGAGTTTGTATGTAATGTATGAATATAATATACAAGTTTCACTTTTTAAATGGAATTACTGAAATCAATCTACTTTTTCATGATATTCTAATTTTATGACCAGCACCTGTATTATTAAGTTGCTTACTGACTCACACTACACAGTCCAGCCTTTCTCCATGTATTAACCCTTGGATGCCTATGATCCTGTTGGACGAAGACTAGAAAGAATCCAAAAGATTTGGTGTTTCAAAGATGGTCTTATTGGTTAGTTGACCATCTGTACTTTGTCAAACTCTTCTCTTGCCTGTTTTTCCAGCTTTTAAGTCATTAAAGTTATGGATGTCTTTCCATTGTGGACTACTACTGTTTATCTCCCAACTAACAGGTTCAGAGAAGAAAGATGTGTGTTATCCACTTCCCCTGTCAGTGATCATAACGTTACAGTATATTTGGTCAGTAAAGTAGCCGACTTTGAAGTCCCCGTATGACCCTGCTGTTTGCTTTTTCTGCTCCATGCTCAGTGTGGTGCACAACTACACAACATCATGTCCCCTTCCTATTAAAACTGGCTGTATTGTTAACACCTGAAGGCTGCTAAGATTCAACACTTTGTTTAACTCTGTGCTTTAATAAAGGGATAAATAAATAATAAATATGTGCACCTTATTTGAGCAGATGTTTCCTGAAAAAAAACAATGTACCATCTTCTCATTTTCATTTCTCTGTATGATACTATAGGAATGCAGATGTTCTCTGTAAACTAGTTTTAAATTAAATTACGTTTAGGGAGAACTGGGGGTTTATTTTAACAAGCCAGCATTTTGTTTGCTACTCTATTTAGATTTTTTTTTTATCTATTTTAATACGGCTGAATGAATTAAGCTTAGTGCATTAAAAAAAAATTTGCTTTTTTTAAACCTAAGCATTACGTCTTATCCTCCAAGAAAGTTTAGAAATGCCTTACAATGCACAATACTAAGACATCTTTATTTTAACTATCGATTTCCTGGACCCTAAGCAAGCCACCAACATAAACATAATACATCTCCAACTGTAAAAAAGCATTTAAAGCGTTTGTGAATATCAATGACTACATCAGCCTTAGTCTCCTCCATCTGAAGAGTCCCAACGAACGCCTTATGGAACATGACAGTTGGGCTCTATCTTTGCAGAGTTTGCTTGTGGCACTTCAACATCCATTAGAGTCATATTGTCAAAGTAATGTGCAGAGAGCAGGCTGCCATCTGTTGCACTGTCACACAGCAATGGTGTCAGACACCGTAAAGCTCTGCTGTATTAAAAAAATACCCTGTGGCAATGGAGTAAGATTTCTTTTTGCACTCATGTTTCGCTGATATCAAGGACTGGCTGAAGCAACATTTTTACACATAATGCCAAAATTATGTTTGCAACTTTTATCGTAACT